CAGGCACAGGGCCCCCGGAGTATTCAGCGGTAGAGGGTCTCGAGAAAACTCTCACATAAGACACAAACGGGGCCTTGCTGATTAGAATGGGGTTCCGAGTTTTGTGATACTAGAAAACGAGGGAACCGTTCAGAATACCATTGCCAAAGTAACCGTTAAGATTTCAGATCATTCAGGCCCCTATGTGGTGAGATTTTCATGCAGGATTGACACAACCCTGACAAAGTAGCAGTGGAAGTCGCACAAAACCTACTAGACATTGACTTACACATGCACACATGCATACAGATAGATAGATAGATATATATATATATAATACACACATAAGCATATTTAAAGAAGGCAGCGAGAGAAAGAGCGAGAGACAAAACTTACGCACAATCGATTGGTCTACATGCAGCTTTCAAAATGTATGTGGGTAGATAGATGGATAGATAGATAGATAGACAGACAGATAGATAGGCAGACAGATTAGATACAGGGATAGAGAGTGAGAGAGAGAGAGAGATAGCGAGACATAGACAGATAGATAGATAGATTAGACAGAGAGGTAGATAGATTAGGTAGAGAGATAAAGATTAAGAGAGAGAGAGAGAGAGATAGAGGAATAGATAGATAGATAGGTAGATTCAGATTGATAGAGAGAGAGAGATAGAGAGAGAGAGACACAGAGAGAGAGAGAGAGAGAGAGATGAGAGAGGGAGAGAGAAAAATGGACAAAGTGTATAACACCAAGTGTATATCCGGGGGCATCTGTATGCATTGTACATACCGATATGCAGATATGCAACTGTGACTTTGCAGGAACTCGCTGAATGCACTAAATATTCATCTAGGCCTGCATAGACAATAAGCACCTTGACGGCGACCTTTCTTTGCAACTGGAAGGTGGTTGTGGCACAAAAGCACTTACCAGCTGCGTCACGTTTTGTACGAAGCCTGCAGCAACTATCGCGACGCAGATCTGTCGCTTCTTCTTAGTTGGCTCGAGACGAGCACGGGGATTACAGTCTTGGGCTCCAAGATGAAGAGGCACATCTGATATGCCACGGTGAGCTCTCTCAAAACCTGGTGAGCTTGGCCACGGTGTCTTCCTGGCTCCATCGGCCAAAGTTCGGACAACGGGGAGAAGGCTCCCTCGAATGAATATACTTATAAATCATCTTGCTGCTACTGCTATTATTAGTATTACGAGTACTGTCAGTATTGTTAGTAACACTATTAATGTGCAAGCTTGCAACATGCTGCGCCTTAGCGGGCGTTGGAGTGGTCTGTCATCCCAAGGCCGGGGGTTCAAACATGATTTGGCAATTTGATGAAGAGGGATAATGTTGGCAAGACTACCAACACAAAGCCTTCATGTCCTGAAGCATGCAAAACGAGTGAGCACTTGGGCCTTCGTTGGTTTGCAGGAGGATGAGGCATCTTCTCTTGCCGGGGGTTTCGCACTGCAAACCGCAACAAGGTAGTCTCGCAATCTGAGAACAAGTGAGAATAGCTAGTAAAGTAACAGCAAGCGATAGTAATTATATCCTTATAGTCTTGAATGTAAGCATGGTATAATGTATCGCAAAACCGTACTCCTAGTGTGAAGTCCCCTGTATTTCTCAGCCGGGACGTCTTTGTCATCGACGCACCCCGCAACGAACAAACTCGAGGGCACTGGGAACAAGAAGATGATAACAGAACGTGGGATTTGAATGCACTTTTGGGTGTAATATCGCATATACTTGTATAGGGCCTGTAAGGACGAGGGTGTAGGTTGTTTTTGGCGCAGTGGGACGCGCAACGACACACGAATACATTCGCCGATCATGGAGCCCCAAGCCTGTGGAACGGAAAACTCCCCCGTCGTGATTGACTCACCCCTGAGTCCCTGAACCCTTGTTTTGAAGCAGGGCTTTGCAGCTAAGCCATGCTCACACATCCAAGTTCAAATCCATGTCGGGACGGAAGGGCCGATGAAAAACTCCGTCGATTGACATGCCATTCTTTCAACCCCTAGATCGACAAAAATTCCAACACCCTTCCAACAATATTCTCAACAAAAAATATCCCCACCAATTCAAGCCATTGATATAGGCGGCTGCAATGAACAAATGTGTTGGCTAGAAATAGCTGCTGCGACACTGCCACTTGCATTTCAACAATGGGTTGATGGTACTTTCAGCAGCGCCAGTGGCAACCAGACTCTTCAAGCATCAGAACAGTAGGGGTACTGCTGGCAGTAGTATATTAAACCCATCTAAACCCCAAAAAAATCCCTTTTCCGCACGCCAAACCCGAAACCCTAAATGAAACCCTAAAGCTGCTGGGTGGGCCTCGTGGTCAACCTTAGAGGGCTGGAATGCCTCCGGCTCCTGGGCAAACCACGGAAACTCTTAGAAACTCCTTTGAGCGTTACGGGCTCAGGGTTTATAGTATAGGGTTTCCGGTGATCGGGTTTGGGGTTTATAGAGTTTGCCCTGGCTTTCAATTCCGTGCGGATTTACAGGGGTTGGGGTTGGTGAGGGACATGGCTCAATGTGAAGGTGTGGAGACATGAATATCCCTGACTTGGGAACCGTTTTATCTAACCTTCGCCAGCTCGGTTTCGAAGGTTCGCATGTGAGTGTATTCAAGGCGGTACCAGAAGATCTAGTTCAGGGCTATCAAATTTACTCACAAGTTTTCACTCACAAAGCTGGGATACCGCTTTCATGCTTCTACAGGCTACATATGGAGGAAGGCTGGTGAAGTTAGTTTCGAAGTCCAAGCCACTTTTGCGGCCACTCCACGATCAACACGTGTAGATCGTGGATCGTCCAAGCTACACTGTTGCATGTTCTTAAACCTCGCCCCCCTCATTAAAAGAACAAACATGAATAAACCCGACGTGCACGCACAACAAAAAAGCCCGAAAAGTAACCTGAGGCTGCTACGATGGCCATCTTTTGTTGGATGGTTCCCAGCTCTTTCCTGCGCTTGCTTCGGCTTAACCGCTTGCAGCATAAAAGTCAGAATAGGGCCTGAATAGGGTCTCGTGGTAGACTAGCTACAAGGGAACACTATGAATCAGACCCTATATTAGGCTTTTCTGTATACGTTTGTGCCAATAAAGGGTTCTAACTCCAGGCTCTAGGCGGTTATAGTGTTGAACACTGCGAGAGGATGCTTCCTGCCGCCCTCCAGAGGGAGACTATGCAGGCTCCTGCTACACCCTCATCCCTGAACCCTACAGTCTTCGAAGACGTGCGTACTTGATTGCTGCAAAAGGGTTTGCATTGGGATGTCCGCTTGGCGGCTTAAGGTCTTGAGGTGCAAGTCTTCAAGGTTTATGAGGCTCAGGGTGTGGCTGGTTGATTGGGGGGCTGTTAAGAAATAATATACAACGGACCTTCAGAATTGGGGCACAGGTCTTTCAATTATGGTGTTGTCGATGTTGCAAAGGTTTTCCACCGACCCATCGGGCAATGTAGGGGCTCAATAGCTACAAGCATGTTCAGTCCGGAATGAAGCTTGCGAGTTCAGGGTGGGCTGTTTTATGTACACACTTGCATCAGGGGGCGTAGCCCTGCTCGGAACAAAATCCACCCCTGCCCCGGCCTGATGTGGTCCAAAGCTTGAAACAATCGCATCACTTCGATGCACCTGGCAGTCTGATGGATGTCTAGCTTCCGAATTTCGTAAGCTGGATCCACGGAGACAGGGGTACACAGCTGCGGGGGATTGAGCTCTAGCTGCGGTTTGGGCTGACAGTTGAATAAAAGGGCTATGATATCTTCCTGACTCTTGGGACTCGACCCGGCCAACGGCCAAGGATCAGGGCTGCAGCAGATCAACAGCTTTGTGGAGATCCCCTATGTAAGGATTGTGAACTACAACTTGCTCCTTCTTATCTTGTACGACAATGCGGAATGCATAGGTTTTGTAGCAGAAAATATGTGCACCACGATAATCTAGCCTGGTGTGTCACTGCCAAGCCCCTCTCCGGCGTGAAGCCTCCGGGCCTTCCTGAGACCTCAACACGAAGGCACCTTGCCCCACCCTTCAGCCGTAACGTGCCCAGGAGGAACTCAGGTAGACCAATGGTCCTCGGACCACAAAAGAACAGTTCGAGGGTTCAGGGTCTACAAGTTTCAGGGCTTAGGGTTCGTTTCGGGCAACGGCTCGAGGACTCTAGGGTTTTATGTAGCAGTGTATGGTGCAGCGTGATCCTTCAAGCCGGGTTGCAGTGTGTGTGTGTAGTTGGCTCTGATTGAGGACTTATAGGGATTGTACATTGAAGGAGTGTCCGTCCCAACGATTGCATCGCTGGAACTGTATGTGACCCCCCCCCCCCCACCCCACGAGCTTGGGTGCCTAGCCTTGGGTTTAAGGGGCTTTGGGATAAAGATTCAGGGCCAGTGAACCAGGTCAGAAGCCTGGCAGTTGCATTTCGCTCGACGAAGGGCATTAGGATATTGCAGACAAGGCTTCTTGACTGAGGGGCAAAGCCTTTCCATCCTATCTTGGCTTCCCGGGTCAGGGAGGGAACTGGCGCAGGGCGATGGTGTTCCAAGGAAGGGGTCCCGCAAGTTTCAAGAGCTGAGTGTGTTCTCGACTTCGGTCTTCGCTCTCCCGGAGGCAAAATGTGGGCAAACATTAACCCTGAACTGCCACGAACCCCGATGTGTCCGAGTGGCCCATCGTGAGACGAGTCTAACAGGTCGAACATGAGTCCTACCTTGGCTGTTGCCACGCTTTTCTCTTGCTTTAAGCTCGTGCGGCCTTACTGCCCCAAAAAGCGCTCTTGTTTTCAACAGCTGGTGAACATAAAGTATAGTTAAACAGGAGCATCGTCAAAGTCCCCGCAGCATGCGTGCTGTCCCACTATCTCTGCCCCTATAGCTTATGTCGGCAACAAAGTTTCTGGAGCTAGTGTCTAGATGCTGCAAGATTGGCGGCGCGAACTGCCCCCACGGCAAACCTAAGTGCAGTAAAGTTCGGGCTACTCGGTTTGGTGATATCAACGCTAAACCCTAAAGCGTAACTGACCTGCTACATGCCCCAACACCCCGATCCCTCCACCGGGTCGATGGATAAAACACTGCGTCAAGGCGCACAGACCCCCCGACCCTAAACACAACAAAAGCTTTTTTGGTATCACGAAGCCTCAAATATCGCATGTAAACCTCTGAGGCGAAAAAACGAAGGCCCCAACAACAAAAACATCCAACCATGAGCCCCAGCTCGCCACGCCAAAACCCAAACCAACCCAAACCAAGTCCGCCCAAACCCCAAACCGTGAACAAAAAGACACCCTTCGTGCCGGCTGCATCGGACATGTCGAGCCCCTGCCCGCCGAAGTAGGCCATCACCCGCTCATTCTTCATGTACCTAAAAGAGCCGGTTTTTGTAGGGTACCACGGGCCTACGACAGGCTTAGCATAGGATGTGCTATGGCCCTACTCTATGGACATTCCCGCATACCACGAGGGTTACTACAGGGCTGCTATACGTTAGGGGCTCAGGCTACCCGAGAAGTCTTTGGGGCTCATTGGAATTTAAAGAAGTACAAATCGCAAGGGCTTGGTAGGCCAGAGAGTCTTTGGATTTCGTGTGCAGGGTGCGAGGGGTTTGGAGTGTCTTTTGGGGGTTTTTTGGGGGTTTAGGTCCTTGGGGGTTCTTAGGCATTCTGAGGGTTCTCAGCTCCAGAGGCTTTGTGGGTTGGAGTTTTGGTAGGCGGTGTAGGTTTTGTGTGTATGGTTTGCGTCGCTTCACTGTGTGTGGTGGTTGACCTGGCAGCTGACCACTTTGTTCTTGCTCTTGCTTATTGTGCTCCTGCTGTTCGTATGTCCAGACTAGGCAAATCTAGGCAACTAGTCCACACCGATACCAGGCCAAGCGGCAACGACAACTCTGCACGAGTCACAACGCCGTTTCCGTCTACGTCGACCTCGTCGAAGAGGTCGCGCATGTCCTTCAGGACTGTTGAACTGCTGGCTTTGGAGAAAACTTGTATCAGTCAGGCATCCGGTTACTTCAAAGCCACAAATTCGATCATCAGCCTTGGGTCGCTGCACGGTCGAGTTTCAGCTCCCTCTGACAAACTATATGGCACGTTTGTCGACGGTCATGCCGAACTGTTTTCGTAGCACCCACGCAGTGAGCAGGCTTTTGCGTTGCCGTGAAATTTGGTCGTACCGAGGTCCAAGCCTATCTACTTTTCTGATAATTACCTACCTTCCTGTTACGTGATGCTATGGCGGAAGCACACCAGGGTTCTTTCTGAGCTCATCTCAGATGTGCTGCTGTCGGCGAAGGAGTGGTGTGGTGTCAGCAGAGTCGTCATTTTGCCTCTGGACTTATGGATAGAGGACTCTGTGGCGAAGCTGCTGTGCATAAACGACCTCACATGTCCTGATCCCCTGTTCCATGAGCCCTTTTGAACGAAGTCTCTCTGGAGTGCCTCCAAGTCCATGAGCCCTAAGCCCTTATAAACCCTAAATCCTATCCAACGAGAAGCCCTGAAGACATTCTTCAGCCTTGGTACTTTGGACATCGTAAACGGCCAAAAAGGTGATTCAGCTTAGGCTTAGGCCCTAGTTCCGCGAGATGCTCGGGTGCACAATCTCATCTCCACTTACTGGCAGTATTTCTTCTACGACTTCGCATCGTCTCTCTGGCTCTTCTAAGTTTCTTACTGCTACCCCGGAAACCCCGGAACTCCTTATAGAACCCTATGTGGCACCCTGTAAACGAACCCCGAACGCGTAGTCGGGTCCTTCAAAAATGCGTCGATCTTTGCCAGCTCTGCCTCGGGCAGGTCCCACTGATTATGTTATATTATCTTGTATTTTATGGCATTATAATATAGTATAGTATATAGTGTAGTATGGTATAGTACATTGTATTAACAAATTCTCGTGACGCTAGTGGCTTGGAGACTCCAGGGGTTTTCCAGATCTATCAAGGTGATGCTACGGTGCCCCTGTTTACATGGCAGAACATAGCGAAACCATTCCCAAGCGCTGCGCTCCTTCGATGTCAGCAGCCTCTGGTCCCACTTTTGCTTGAGAATAGACCCTATAAGCCCTAACTAAACCCACAGCCCAGGCCTGAATCAAGAGGTCCCTGTCTTTGATCTGCAAGGCCATCTCAACGAAAAGAGCAGAGAGGACGTTCATGATGCACAGAACGATCAGCAAAACCTTGAAGTGTAGGTGTTGGCACATAGGCTTCAGGCACTATCGTTCGCTTGTTCTCACCTAAACTATGCGGGAACGAGGAGTGCATATGCGGATGTGTCGGGTGGAAATCGTACTCCTGCTGCAGTCCCGTGTCCGTTCTGGCTCTCAGACCGCTCCAGCTCGGGTCAGGAATTCCCCCCCTTCGAAGGGATCCAAACTTTTGGCGAACACCGAAATTGTGTTCAGACCAGAGTGCCACATGGTTTTGCGTGCGCATCATCTTGCACCACGTTTCCGTGTGTTGCCGATCGAAAGCACGAAAGAAGCCGACGGTGTGTCAATGCTCTGAAGTTCTCTAAAGCTTCGGAAGCAGGATAACACGAACTCAGCAACCCCAACTCGACCTTACGCAAAAGGGAACTGAAATCAGGAGCTGATGGTCTCTTCTGGCAGTCTAGCATCAGTGCATCTGGCCATCAGGCCAAGCATGCACGTTTCGATCGAAGATGCTAACACTGCCACCACAGGCACCACTCTCTACTTCTTTTTCAAACTCCGCCGACTCTTATGAGTATCAGTAGTAGCATTGCTCATACGACGACGGCGGCGACGGGCGGCTCCTTCTGCCTCTGCTGCTGCTACTCGGCGCATACTAGCCACGAGCATCATCAAACCATGCATCCTTCTAGCGGTATCACTTTGGTTTTCTAAGGTTTCGCGGTCGCAGGTTTAGTTTTCAGGTCAGCTGAGTGAGGGCTTGCCCCCCGGACCGACCGAGGGCGCTCAGGGTGCAAGATGAAGGTAGGATGCGAGTTTCGGGCTGTAAGGTGTGGAGCTTAGGCTGTAGGTCTGTGGTTGTGGGCTTGGGGCTTAGAGTGTTCAGAATAGGGTATACGCCTGTCGGAATCTGCAATGCCACATGGTCCGTCATGGATGCGCAGATATACTTAACCTGCGGCAATGGCGCCGACGCTAGCAGCCGCTAGCAACTTAGTAGTCGTAGTCGTCGCGGTGGTGGTGGCGGCTGCTGCTGCTGCTGCTTATGTTACTGATGCTGTTCTTGCTGTTGTTGCTGGTGCTGTTGTTGGTGGTGGAGTCGATGCTGAGAACATCGTGTTGATTAAATCAGTTAACACCCGCATCAGCCAACCAGCCGCGTCAGAAAAAAAAAGTCACAGTCGGCTGTCCATTCCCTGCCGGACGGCATAGAACAGGAAGGCAAAGAAGTACAGGTAGTTCATGTTCATGAGAGGCTTGGCGATCTGGTACCTCGCAGCTTGTCAGTCTTGTATTTGTGTTAACTGTTATTTTGGATTTTGGCATTTGGGGTCTGTTATTGCCTTCGTGCTTAAGCTTGTCGCGCTAAATCTTGTCTTGTCATGTTCAGCATAGATTCCTGTCCGTCTTCACGGCATCCATCTTCAACCGTTGGGTTGATGTCGTGTTCCAGCTCGGTTTGGGAACTGTCGCTGTTTACCCTTCCAGCACTCTTCTGGTTTTTGTTATTTATAAGCTATAAGTCACAAGGTTCCGGACTCAAGAGGTACACCTGAAAAAACCCTCTTAAAGCCTGAGTTGTAGAGCGCAGCCCCTAAACCCCACATCCGGTCGCATCTTGGCCATGCGGGCAAGGCACCAATCCAGCCCGCCTTGCAGACGACACACGGGGCAACATTTTGGAACAAAGGTTTGGTTTGATTGCTTTCCTTGTTTAGGACAGGACCTTAACAAGTAGAACAAGCTTACTCGGCTGTTCGGGTCACATCCTATGCATGAAGCCGAGGATAAACAACACCATTCGCAGTGAACCGGTCATCACGATCACAACTCAGAATCAGCACAATAAACGAATTAGCACGAGATGAACCTAAACAAAAACAATGGCAAGAGTAGAACGAATAACATAGCGATAAGTGCTCCTCAAACTGCAAGCTCCGTCTCGTGCCAGGCTTCTGTTCCCCTTCGTGAGCCCATGGGTGAAAAGCCCTTCTGCCGCCAAAACTCCTGTAACAGCCATCATCAGCGACAGCATGGATCGAAGCCTGGCGAAGCTCTGATTCTAAGGCAGGGGAGGCATGTAGTATACTGTAGGGCCCTTCATAATACTATTATAATTTTCATAGGGAGCCGCCCAAAATTGTATAGGTAATGTTCTAGGCCCCTATATTATCAGCGTAGATCTGAGCCCGGGGACTCGAGGCTGCCAGGGTTTGGCAAGGCTTCTACAGCAGCGCGACGTAGGCTGCGCAGTGAGTGTAGTAGAGGATTCGCAGGGTTTGGAGTCCTGAACACTAAACCCTTTAGGGTTTGGGCTTAGGGTTTAGGGTTTAGGGCTTAGGGCTTAGGGTTTGGGGTTTAGGGTTTAGGGTTTAGGGCTTAGGGCTAAGAATTTCTGCTACTGGACTGAAGTCTAGCCGACCCCAAACCCCAAACCCCAGGATCTTGGGTCAGGGCTCTTTTTGGTGGGACTCCGGGTCGATTCGGTTTAGGACCTGTGAGGTTCGGACTGAAGGACGGATATTCCTTCATAAAGTAGAGCCGAATCAATATCGAATCTATATGGTGACGGAGGCTTTGGTCCCGAGGCTTCGAGAAAAGACCGACACCTCGAGGGAGAAAGTCATACATGACTGATGTGACCAGTTGTGGAGGCTCCAACGTAAAGTCATTATGATTAGGAGTTCCTAGCCACCGTGCTCTTGTCACGAAGTCTGTTCAGTTTTGGCGGTGGCCACCAAATCCCACATCAAACCCTCTGCAATCCTGCCATTGAAGGAGAAGGCGTACACTGTGATTGACCAAGATGATGAGCGGCCGAGCAGCAGTGAGTCAAAATGAACTGTTAGCTGCTGCCGCAAGCCGGCCGCGGACAGCATGTTGGTCTGGTAGGCCCCCGCTAGCTCCTCTCCTCCTGTACCGGGTTCGGGCTTAGGCTTACGCTCTCTCGGTGACACAACCCAGAAGACAAAGGCCCGACGGGGGTGACTTGAATAAACCGAAGCTGACGGAACAATCCTAGAACAAAGCCACGCGAGTTGAGAAGGAAACAGACTGTCCGGGATGCCCTAGAGGCGCTGAGGCGCCCTGCGGGGAAGCAGGAAGTATTCTGAGGCTTATGTAGACTCGGGACATTCTGCGACATCTCAAGAAACCTAGCTTGCTCCCTCCATTCCGCACCGACGCAACGTCTCCCTCTCCACGCATGATGCAAGAGCTGACTAGGTGACTCGGTGCTTTGGGTACATCGCAGGTCGAGGTTCAGGAGGTTGTGGTCGGAACTGGTCTGCAACGAGTTGCACACAGCTGCCACACCGGCTCTCCGGCCTTGAACTAAAATACTCAACAAGTCTCAAACCTGTACATTCAAGCGCCTCGCGGGGCCTCCATGGACCTCACAAGCTACCCTTCATAACGCCATAGTGGGTCATTGCACATTGGGACGATGGGAGAGGTCTGTCTTTGAAAATCGGCAGTTGTGGGTCTAGGTTAAATTGCCAGTATCAAACCCGATGAATGACCCTAAAGCCTTTTTTTGTGCATCTGGTTTGCAGCGACTCAACCAGGACATGACCCTAAAGCCTAAACTCAAAAACCCTAACCCTGCTCGTTTCGAAACCGTTGCTGCTGATCGGAGATCCTGCAGCGATCACAGTGATCGTCGGGTCGGGTGGATTTGGATCTCGGAAATACCTGGTCATACAAGGCACTTAAGGCGTGGCTTCCCCAGTAGCTCTTCATTAATCAGGGTACCCTTACTTGGAGGGGGGCCCTGGCACTCCAGTATTTCATAGGGCTGTCGGGTTCGGGTTGAGGGTTTAGGGCTTGGGGTTTAGGGCTTAGGGCTTAGGGTTTAGGGCATGTTGAGGCTTTCGGGCTTTAGGGATTCGGCGCTCACTCTGGGACACCAGGTGAGGTTCTTGGTGCTTCGTCGTTTGGAGGTGAGACCTATCTGAAGCTGTTTCACCTAAACTAATTACATGCTACGGTGGTCCCTAAACCCAAAGCCCCAATTAAACCCTAAACCTTTTTGGCATCCGGGCTGTGAAGTTCTGGCCGGAAACCCTAAACCTCAGATATTGTCTGAGAAAGGGGAGCCTTGCTTGAGGGTCGAGGTAAAGGATGCAACGGCCGATAATGATATTTGGGTAGCTCTCTAAATTAGGGTCTCTTTTTTGGGTTCCCTTTCATAAGGTTGCCGTGCCACTATAATTGGTATCTAGAAAGGGGCCCTAACGTAGAGAACTACCCCATTTGGGGTAGAATAAACTGAACGGACAGCGAGACGCTTAGGTAGCTCAAGACTCCTTATGACTCCTTAATGTGAAACTTCCGTGTGATAAGCTGCTTTAGGGTTTATAGGGGGGCCCAGGAGACTCTTATCCCAGGCCCCGAGTGTATCAAACCTGCACATCCCTGCGTCAGCAACTCTAGAATCTTGACACCCCAGAGCCGGCAGTGTAAAGCAGCAGGTGTCCGAGTCTGATCGCACGATATCGCAAGCATGTCCGTCTCTGTGGCCGCAAGTACGCAACTGAAAACTCACTCACACCATTTTTGTGGCTGCAGAAGAATTTTCAAAGGCTCAGAAGCCCCAATCCATGGTTCCCTCTGCATCCGGGTCTTCCCAAGGCCGAGGGGCGTGGAGGCGCCCTGTGTGCACAAGATCGCAAACCTTCACTGGGGACTTCGCTTTAAAGGCCGCTTGAATTCTTTAGGCGTGTAAAGGAGCTTGAGAAGTAGAATTCTTTCACTTCAGGCTGCTTCAGGCACAGTTTATAGTCAGATCTCACGATGTGCCCACGCTGCAACATGCACAAAGGTTAAATTGTTGTGACGTCTACCCCCATCCTCGACGAAGCGCTCTGGAAGGTGTCAGGTTGGACAACAGGAGAACATGCTGTACGGTTTGGTCGGATGACTTGCTTGTCCAGTTACCTAGGAGGACTAAAGGCAGGTTTCCTACTCTATTACTAGGGTGAGCAAAGAGCTATTTGCCTTTTGGGGTGTGAAGCTGTGCTTCAGGCTTTAGGCATTGCATGTCTGCTGAACTTTAGGGCACCGGTTGCTGCTGCGTTTACGGGTTTTCGTGTGCAGGACTGGATTTGTTGTGCTTGATGCTGCACTTTTCGCATCGCTCGCCCAATTACAATTAATAGTGTCGTTAGTGTTCCGGAACTTCAACCAATAGATTCTGAACTGAAACGAAGCCCCAGACCCTTATATCCCAAGCCCCAACCCTAATCCCAGAAGTTGACACAACATCGATTCGCCAGGCCACACGTATGTCACGGTCATCAGCAGCGTGCAAGCCCAAATCAGGGACATCAAGGAATTGAAGATGCAAACCTCAGAACTTTCGGCAGTGTCCAGCTTTCAAGCCCGTCAAGCCCGAACCCTAAATCCTTCTTAAACTCTTGTCAAGCTTTCTTGTGGCGGCACACCTTGCAGGGCCCCGGGAATAAGAAGCTCGGTGTCTCGGTCCTTTGGCTACGGCTTCAGGCTTTAGGGTGTCGTGGTTTCTGCGGGTCTTAATTTCCAGAAAAGCTGCAACCATCATCCGGAGCTCCCGGAAGAAGTGGAAGAGTCTGATCACCCGCCTCATGCAGCCAGGCCAGCGCTTCTGAGAAAAACCGTATAAGCTGCACACCCAAGGCCCAAAACCATGTCACACCCTGTCAGCGTGACGAGGAGATGGACTCTTGAAGAGTGTTTGCGTTGTGGGTAAGACAGCAGCGTCTCACAAGCAGGAAGCTCCGACGATGCCATGCACTGTTTCTGTCTGCTGCTGGACGGCGCATCGGCGAATGGCAAGCTACATGGAGGTCGCATTGCAAGGGTAGTCGACATGCTTGGGCTGCAGTGGTCGCAGCGTCGTCATCGAACCGTGGTGGTAGCAGTGACGCCACTTGCCATGTACAGAATAACACTCATAGTGTACGGGATGCGGGTGTCTTCGTCGTTACTTTCGCATTGGCAGTAATTAACAGAAGGGTCGGCGAGAAACAGAACAGGAAGTTCGACAAGAAGAACTGCCGGCAATCATAGTTGTAGTCACTGTCGTTGCGGTCGGCCACGTCGTCGTACCGGTGGTGGTAGTGGTAGCGGTCGGCGAGTCGTAGCAGTAGTGGTGGTAGTGGTGTAGTGGTGGTGCTGGTAGTAGTAGTCGTCGTCGTAGTCGTAGTCGTGGTCGTGGTCGTGGTCGTGGTCGTGGTCGTAGTAGTAGTAGTAGTAGTAGTAGTAGTAGGCGCGAGTGTCATATTTGACGCCACGTTTTTGTGGCTGCGAGGACGAGTTTTCATCGATAATTACAGCACTTTTCGCAAGGCAACAGCAGGAGTGTCGAGGGTAGGATTTAGGTGCTTTTTCCGATGATACATAGGATAGAGAGAGGT